TTTTTCAAATTCGTCGTTTGTAATCCGTGTTAATCTTCTCCATCCTTAGCCATCCTTGTTCCTTTATGGTTTATCATTATCCCTTTGGTGTTTTTCTTTCTTATTAAACTGTTATTTTCAGGTTTCCTACCATTCAAAGGTAATTTTGTGTGTGGCCAAAATAACTCAAAATACCGTGACTGCGCCCCTTTAAAGTGATTCAAAATACAAAATTATCGCAAAATAAGTGTCGCTAAATATGCGCACCTCAAAATCGCGATATAAATGACTCGCAAACATTTCATGTTTATATCGTGTGAATGCTAGAATGTTCCAGTTTGTAAACACAAACCACCAACGCTCACAATGCTCTGATGAACGGCTAACGCTGTCTAAGCTACACTGATCCTTAAGAGTGATTAGATCCGAGTCTCCTTACAATATCAAAACATTCTCAAACAGACGTAATGAGAAAGTACAAAATCGTCAACCAGGGAATATTGTCTTGATGTAACACCAAATTTTCAGAACTTACATTTTTCATAAACAAATGTCCAGGACTTCTCCAGGACTCAGATTGATTTTTCCAGGATTCTAAAATTCACATTAACCCTTTAACTCCCAAGATCTCAATGGTAATTTTCCTTACTGTCTGCCATACATTTCATATTTTTTACTTGAGTTAAACAGATTTCCAGAACTTTCTAGAACCAGCAGCCTTTTTCCAGGACTTTCAAGTCTTGCAAAAAGCCACAATAAAATTCCAGGACTTTCCAGGTGTACGAACCCTGTAGAGAGAATTCACATTGAATCATTGGAGTTTTAATTGTTCGGCAATATACCTGTAGACATAAAACGACTGCAAGGTTGTGGAGCACTGTGGCTACACTCAAATGTGATTTTCCAAAAGTCTTTTCTCTGATTTCCAGGGCCTGTCTGTAGGGGGAGGAAGAAAAACATGAGAACGAAGCGTGACTCCTACACAGTAACAAGAGGCCATTGTGCCTCCTGTTATAATGACCAGTAAAATTACACAAAGTAGGAAAGCAAGTGCCTGAACAACAAGAGATCAAGTCGAACAACACAGTCTTAAAACTATTTATTCACAAAACTTCATAATTTATTCTCAAAACTTCATAATAGATTCTCAAAACTATATAATTTATTCTCAAAACCAGATAATTTATTTTCAAAACCAGATAATTTATTCTCAAAACTGCATCATTTATTCTCAAACCTACATCATTTATTCTCAAAACTACATAATTGAACACGAAGCCAAATGTTACACGTACCTGTATAACGGTTCCGCTGCAGAATATTTACCCTAACAAAAACCAAAAATAATTATGATAAGAAATAATTTGAACTGATAGACACCATATGAGACAACAATACTACTGACTCGTCCCAATCCCTCTCGGACAAATTCCTCATAAGAGACCGGATGAGTCAGATAAGATAGCAAAATGATACGAGATTATAACACATGAAACAAGTTTATAATCTGTTGCATCCATTTAACTTTCAGTGCAATTCATGCCAATGCATTGGCAATTTGTTTTGAAGATGGCATGGAGACGTAAAACAATACTTAGTATACGTTGGGAAACCGTATAAATGCGAGTTTAATTAAGGATTTCCATAATGAGTGATAATTGAAAATTCTCTCAAAATTACACGAGACTTTTTAAGTAGTGAAAAGGCAAGAGTAATTTAATTTGAGTTTTTAAAAATCACGAGTTGTGTAAATCCTTGATTGCTCGAGTTTTCACTTGATTACCCATTTATTATATGCTGAGAAAATTACGAGTGCACACATTCAGTAAATTTGAACTGGAGTCTAAAATAACAAAAAAACCAGAAAAATTTGCCTCCTTTCAGCCAATCCCAATGAACTAATTTTCTCAATCATATAATAAGCTCATTTATATCTGAGATCTCCTAATTGCTAAGAAAATCTTTCATACCTGTTTTCTGTAAAGCACTGCTAAGTGTTTGATGGTAGATGCCACACTGCCATGATGTGGTGGAAAGGCCTGAAGAGAAAAACATAGTTTACAACAAAACTCAACTGTCTTCTGAGCTTGTTAGTCCTGTCATTCAATCAGTGATAAATTGCTTATTTCCTGTTACTTAAATAAGTTGAATAAGATAACAAGACAATGAAAAAGATAACTAAGGAACATAAAACCTTTTAGAACTGCCTAGCATGTCAAACTATGGTTGCCTTGTCGGCACAATTCTCCGAAGAGCTTTCTGACTTCCAGCAGTGTGTGTTACTGCGCTTATACCGCAAATTTGGACACGTAGGTAAAAAGAAGCACCAAATAAGGTTTGGTAACAAGCTTTCACAGGAAAAAAAATTATCCCACGCACTTAGGTCTCTGCAATACAAGTGGCATCAAAGGCTTACATGTATATGGAAGATGGTTGTCCTAGGCGAACACGTTCATAAGTTTGTTTTGCAGAATATATGATCTTTTTATTTCATTTGCTCTTGAAAGCTCATAGATTCCCTATCATAAACTGACTGTCCCTTCCTCCCTCCCTTGGGTCAACACAGTGACATCACCTTTCATTAGGGGTTTTTTCCTCTTGAAAAAGTGGTGAAGTTTGATTCTCGTCTTCTTACCTTTAATCGAATCTGATACGCTCTTACATAGAGAGGTTCTGCTTTGTCATACCTGCCAAACAACAATTACACAAAGAAAAGCTTCTTATTAAGCGAGTCCAGCTAACAATTAAATTTACTCAAGGTAATATTCACAAAGAACTAAACATCAGACTTAAAAATTCTACTATATCGTAGACCAGCAAATGACCTTGGGGCTACTAATCTTCTTTGGTCCCTGAAAACAGCTTTCTTTTGTTCAACTAGTTTGAGATTTTTTGGTCATTAGAGTGTGAGTCTAGGAACTACAGTGCATACCGGACAGACTTGGGAGAGTAAGTAGTAATTATTGACTCAGAGAACACACATATAATAAATAATACACCATTTGAAAGGCATTGTTTGCGGATTACCATATATCATACTAACAGCCATAGAGGAAGTCGCTGGAAAATATCTTATTCATCCTATAGTTGAGGTATGCTCCTAATTTATAGCTTAATTTTCAGCTCTTGATGTGTTGGTTATGGTCAGATATTAACTTAGCCGTTAAAGTGTAAGAGTAAAAAATTGCCAAAATTGTAAGGATAGTTAATCATATAAGAAGGGGTGATCATATAAGTCTCATATAAAACGGGGTCTCATATGAAACGTCTCATATAAGACTGGGTATCATTTTATGCATTCAAAAGACAGATCTATCCAAGGCCTTTTGCTGTTCAAATTTGAACCAAATTGTCCAAATATTGAACATACAGTGGGCACATTGTGCAGCAATCTTGGGAGTGAGAGGGTGAACGATACTTACATCTTTTGATCATTGTACAAGGCTGCTAAGTTATGAAGCGACTGTGCTACATCTGGATGATCAGGACCCAGGACAGACTCGCGCATCTCCAAGGACCGCTGAAAAAATGACCTGGCAGCTCTGTTGTGGAATGGAGAGAAAATTGTCTTGTGGCAGTCACCCATACAAGCGTTACTGTACTGAGCTACTTAACGTTCGTCCTCTACCATGCATGTTGCTTAATCACTTTAAAAACATTAAATCAACGCTGCACCTAAATTTAACGCACCAATTTTTAGCCTATTCCCATCGGTTCAACTGATCCTTAGTTGCGTTTTCTGATGGTTTCAGGCACGGTTTTTCGAAATCAGAAAGCTTATGGTATGTCTCGTAAACGCAGGCAAATATCTTTGAACTTGTCCCTGAAACTGAAGAAAGACGCAAAACAAGGTGGTATGNCTGGTTGGCAGAAATGGCTGCACACTCAGCAAAAATGTTGGGAACAACGAAGATAGCTTTGAAAAAGTGAGTATCGAACTACCATCAGAGGAAGGAACACAAACATTGAACAGCCTGCACAAAAAAGTAAGTTAGTGATTTATTGTAAGTTGCTTCATGAAATCAATTTGCAGATGTATTCAACTGGCATTCAAACTTCCTAGAGTTCGCCATCACCAACCTTTCCTCTTTGAATGTGAAGCCACATGACTGCTGTTTGATTGACAGCTATTTCAAAGGGTGTGTTTTCAATTCAAAGGTCGCATAGCAATGAAAACAGTGGTAACCAGTTCCACTTTTAATAACATCAAGCTTCATTTCCTAACCTATGGACCTTGATCTGAGCTTACAAACTAATAGATGCTCATTTGGTTTTTAGAACATACATGTAGTTTGACGAAAGAGCAGTTACATTTTGAACAGGAACAACCGGCACAAGTGTTTGTCAAGGAGAGCACTGCTGTGGGGTTCTACCAGCAATTTTGCAGATGGAAACGTCATCGTGTAGATGATAACATATTTTAAAGGAGAGCTACTCACTTCTCTTGTTTCTTGTACAAAATAGCCAAACCCTCCAAATCCTGTTAAAAAAAAAAAGTCAAGAGTTAAAGGTTGGAACAATTTAGACCTTTACACAGGGGTTTTATTGATGTTTTCAGCAGGAGAGCAACTGAGCTGGTTTTCACAGGCAGGCAAACGTTTTGAACTGACCTTCTTTATATGAAAAACTTTCCTCTACATGTACATGGTCACAACAGGTGGGCAAAATCATCCTCTCAGCCAAACAATTTGTCCAGTGCCTGGCCCTTAATTAAACCCCTGTTTACATGCACTGATAGTCAGAGTTAACTGTTGGGGTGTGGAAGGGGTATTTTTCATTAACATGCTTAACTAGTAAAACGATAAAACACTGTTGGCTACGAGCCATGTACCTTCACAAGTGAGGGATGGTCACTTCCAAGAGAATTTTTCTTGATTTCGATAGAATGTTTGAAGAATGCCTCAGCTGGACTAAAAGTGGACAGAAATAGAGAAATGACATTAAAAGCATAGAGAAACTTAAACTAGGCACTTTAGAAAAGAGTAGGGTAGACAGGGTTCAAGAAAAGAACCATCCGGTCAACTCAGACAAGTAGATTTTCCTGCTGGGCAAATAACTTTTCATTTTCACTTTCCCAAGGGCAAGGGCCCAGGCAAGTCGTCTGCCAAGTAAATAATACAAAAAAGTAAACCAAGTCTTGCTCAGGGCAAGCGACATTTGAGAGTTGCAAAGGGCATGTTGAAATTCAAGTTTTTTTCTAGCCCTGGGGAGGCTGAGGGTATCTAGAGTGGAGTACAATAGAGAACAGAGTTTCACGCCAGTGTTTACCTAAACTTTCCCCACTGTGCATTCAGACCAGCAAGATGATGTAGTGACTGTGCCACAAGTGGATGGTCTGGGTCGAGTACTGTCTCCCTTATCTCCAAGGATCGTTGAAGCAGAGGAGCAGCCTAGTTACAACAAAATTCGAGATTAAATCATTACTCTCCCTACTGATTATATAAATTTCTTTTATGGCAAGTTATGAGAATTTGGTGCTAAATCTGTACTTGGCGATTTTCTTTATTCTTGTCATGTGTCTGCCTGACATTGTATAGATTACTTGGACCATGTATGTCCTGGCAGCAATGCTGTTCTCCTACAAACCTTACTTAGTATTTAAAGACAAACTTTACAATTGAACAGTCAATAGCAATCTTCAAAACAATTGAGAAATATCTACCAACCTGGCTTAGAAGTCCTAAACATTTTAGAAAATGTCCAACAACTTCAAACATCTCTGCAGTTGATGCTGAAAGTTCACTCTCTGAAAAGACCAAAAGAAAGTCAAGTGTTGTTCAAATAGCTACAGCTGTAACTCAAAGGGTGATAATTGAAAATTTTGTCCACAGATTGAATCCTACTGAGAACCAGGCTCTTTTGATCGTCTACAAAGGGAGGGGGGTTGTAACTTCAAGAGTATTAATTTCACACCATGATAACCAAACTTAAAGGATATGGATACTTCATGAATGCATCCTCTGACAATGGGGTGGGGGGAGTTATTTCCATCTGTTAACTTCTGTGTGCTACAATAATTTTAAAAGATCTTGATTTCTAATTTTTTTCTGTTGTGTTACCTTCTATATTTTACATACTAACCAGCCTCAATCTTTTTTAGCACATCAATATATTTCATTCCTAGTGATGCTTGATCAACTCCAAGGTAGTGCCAATAGTTTATTAGCTCAAATATGCGTCCCCTAAAAGATGAAACAGTGCATATTTAAACAGTAGCCCTAACCAACGAGTAACAATGATTAAAACGGTCTAAAAATACTGTTAAGTTTTTGGCTGCTAGTCTGAAACCTTAAACAAATGATTGTGAAATTGCAGAAGGCACATATTTCTAGTACATTGCATCTTTCTTTAAATTGTTTTGAAAACAAAAATTGATTGACTGATTGATCAGGAGTTATTCAAGAGGGTTGCTGACACATATAAGGGAAAAAGACAACCTAAGGGAACACAAGGAACATTGTGGAAAAAAACGTAAATAAACCATTGATAGTTCTCACCGTTCAAAGAGTACTTTGAAAACGTTTGGATTCAGTAGACATTCTGCCAGCTTCTCCTTTTCACAGGCTTTCTCTAAACTCCACGGTAATTCATCAGTTACTCTCCAGCTTACTTGGTTTACACTGAAAAACGAGCATACCTCATGTCTCTAACTATAACCACTACCTACAAAGTCTGTTAAGTATCTCACTGTCCTACAGATTGGGGACCCATCCACAGTACTCTGGAGGAATTTGAAAACGGACATTTCACTCTGAAAAAGCATCAATTTAAAGTGTTTTCTGTCCACACTACGCCAGAGAAATTTAAAACTGTAACAATCACCGGTCATTTTGGATTTGTGTTTGAGGAAAACTCGGTCAGGGAAATGACACAACTATTTTGATGCCATCGTTTTCAAAAAGCTCTGTTTTCAAAGTGATTTCTGTCCACACAAACCACAAGCTGGCATTTTCAAATTCCCCTTGATTGAAGTGCATTTTCAAAAAGCTTTTGTGACGGATTAGCGTGGATGGTGGGCCTAACCGTAGAAATGAAGCTTCGTTTTTAAATTCCTCTGGCATAGTGTGGAGAGGGCCTGAGATGACCCCAATGCTTCATCAGTGCTTTGCTTTATAATGAACTCCAGTTCCTTAGCATGAAGTCACTGAATGTATCATGACTTCCTCTAGCTGAGATGTTAGTCCATCACAGGTTTCAGTACCTCTAGACATTAATTTTGTCATGTTTTACTGGACTGTGAGATCAATCATGTTCTTTAGCTAAGATTACACTTACATGTATAGCCTGGATCTTATCTTGCTACAGTTTGTGTCAATATCATTCATTTGACACATTGTCATTTTGATCCTCACTCTGAAGAGAATTTTTAGAACAAGCGAAATATTGCATGGCAAGTGCAATGGAACAATCGACAATGCTACATACAGTACCTTAACTTTTCTTCAAAGAATGCCGTAAAGGATTCCTGTGCTTCTGCGATTTCTTGTAAGTCCTCTTCAAATGAAAATGCTTCATTTATTGCTTTTATGACCTGAAAACAGCAAAAAAAAAAAAAAAAAAAAAAAAAAAAAAAAAA